TCTAATGCTGCCAAATATTTTGAATCCAAGTGCTTTATTGCTATGCAACAAAGATATGCTGCCAATCAAAGTTGAGGGGCCTTTTGTAGTTCCAAATGTGCTTTTTCAAGAGGCAACAGGACTTTCTGATTTTTCTTTGAAGACGTTTCACTTCTCATCCAAGAAGATTCTTCAGCTTCTTCAGCTTCTTGGATGAGAAGTGAAATGTTTTCAAAGAAAAACCAGAAAGTCCAGTTGCCTCTTGAAAAAGCACATTTGGAACTACAAAAGGCCCCTCAACTTTGATTGGCAGCATATCTTTGTTGCATAGCAATAAAGCACTTGGATTCAAAATATTTGGCAGCATTAGATTCTGAGTGTACTTGTGCATACCCTGTTTCCCTGAAAATAAGACCTCCCCGGATAATAAGCGCAATTGGGTTTTTGAGCGCATGCGCTAAAATAAGCCCTCCCCCCAAAATATTGCAACACAGCAGCAGCCATGAGGTGACCACGCTTCCTGCCTCCTGCACCCCAAAAATAATAAAACCTCCCCAAAAATAAGGCCAAGCACTTATTTCGGGGGTCAAAAGAAAATAAGACCCTGTCTTATTTTCGTGGAAACATGGTACTAAGAGGATATTGTAAGTGTGTGGATAACAGTGGTAATTTTTTTTTTAAAAAAACCAGTTTAAATATGAATAGCATGTATTAGTAGCAAAATTCACTAGTCATGCCTTTAGTGAAACAAAACAATTGTCAGATATACTCCTTGTAGAAACCAAAAGTTCAGTCAGTCCTTCATTCATTCAAATAACCTGGCTGCAAGTCTTCAAGGCTTGGAAAGTTGTGAAACTCATTTTGAATTGGACTAGTCAATCTCACTGCCTTATTTGGGCTACCAGAAATTTAGTTTAGATATGGGAGTGTTTTAATGTACTTGTTTACATTTTAAAGGTGTATCTATATATCCACACACACACATACAGACATACACAAGCACACTTACTTTAAAGAAAACATATATTAAAATTAAAATAATATGATTTATTTAGTTTCAACAGTGAATTAAATCTAGACCGTGTTCCTCAGTTTTGCTTCTCTTTTGGTTCAAAACTAATTTGAAGGATGAGAATTGACAAGTTTCACTAAGCAAAGTCTTAGATTTGTAATATATACATTCTTCCATGAGTATATAAACACTTTTTATACAACAATCTAAGATTGTTAAATCCTTTATTCTTCGATTTGATGGACAAGATTTCACCGAGCGTTTATATTTTTAACTTTCAATTGCTTTCCAAGAATCTGGTTTGCTATACTAATAATATTTAATATAAAGAATCCTCTCTGTAATTCTGTAGCCTAGATCTGATAACCCTAACACAATCTAATTTATTCATCTTTTACTACCATAAACAATATTTTTATTTTATGAAAAAAAAACCTATTGAGGCTTGCAACTACTGTATAATTAATATTACAAGGGAAACATTAAGAGACCTATATTTGCCATCTTCATTTGCCAATGTTTTACCTAATTTTTCATCAATGTCAGCTCTCCTTATCCAGTCCACATAACTTTAATCTAATCCAAAGATAATTTATTTTTTAGCGGCCAAGCAGGAAAGCTCATAGTCTGAAGTCAATGCTACATCTTCTATAGCATGAACAGATAAATAAAAATGAACCATAAATACAAAATAAATACAATGGAATAGGGCAAGTACTTCACTACAGTTGGTAGAAATTGTACGAATAGCTTGTATTTTTAAATAATAGCATTAATCATTACTAGTGGATAGTTTAAGTAAAGAATTTATGTTTTTAAGAATGGAAGGCACTACTGATTGTTCTTTATAACTCAATATTAAAAATAGCTCTTTGGGGAAATAATGTCTCTATTGCAGGAAGCAGATTATTGTGTGGTATATTTTTGTGTAACAGGAAAGAAAGTGTTGATAGCTATAAAAAGTTCATTAGCATCAACTAAGAAATTAATATTGACAGGTCACTTCTTCATATCAAATGAAGTTATTACAGCCTCATATATATGACATAGCACAGATATATGACATTGTTTTAGCTATTTCTATTGATGCTTTAAAAAAAATTTAAGAGTCAATTGTAAGTTGAAAGTTGATTATTTTGATATCTCAGGATTGGAATACTATAAACAGATGAAATGGAATATACAACAGAGTAAAAATGCATCTCAGCTCAGATCTACTTATATATATAACCTTACTCTGATCTACTTTCAAAAGTATTCTTGTATTCATAATAGGCAGCATAATCTAATAATATAAACATAATGCCAATAGTGTTTCTATGACAAGTAGGCACATTTTTTATTTTAATTCTTTGGAGTTCAAAAACCAGTTTTGTCATATATTCCAGCATGTTTGATCCCTAGGATTTGTTTTGAGAGAGGGTGGGAGGAGGGGAAGAGGGAGGGAGGGGGAGGGATACCAGATATCCAATTCTATAGTTTTATTTTGATCTGAATCTCTCCTATTTACATGATCATGTGTTTTAAAAATATTTTTGAAAGCCTTGCCATTAGAGAAGAGAATAGGAGATTTTTCTTTTCTTTTTATTTCTTTTTTTTTTGTTTATAAACTTTTTTTGTATTGGTACTGAAATGTTACCCATTTCATCCTTGTTTTGCACCCTGGCAGGACCCTTGCTCAGCACTGATCAAGACAACTGTATTGAGGTATCTGTAGAAGAGACAGAAGTGAACATCTTGGAATCCTCTGAAGACAGTGATAAAACAAGCAAGGTGTGAAACTTTCATTTTCACATTGTAAATAGCAAAATCTCTGCTGTCTCAAACTTGTCATGCTGATTTCACAAGAATGTGATTGGAGTATTGCTTCCAGGAGAATATTTTTCCCGCCTTACAACAAATATGAAATAAAACCAATTAGTGCCTCAATTATAGTTCATTATCACCTGCAAAATCCAAATGCTTCTATCTTGCCCATAATAAGTGCAAGAGCTATGGAGTCATAATAACTACTATGAGTTTCAAATATTGATATTGCACCTTTTTAGTGCATCACTGCTTCTGTGAATGGCACAATTTTACACACAGGTAGGCACACCATCATTGTGTGTTTGTGTGTGTGTGTGTAAAGGTGTACCACAGTTTTCATGGAAAGAACTTAATTGGAAAGTTATTTCAGGGCCATCTATCTTTGACTGAAGCATAAGACAACAATTGTATTAAAGTGACTGAACAAATGGATTTCTAATTGCTGACCATTAGCATATGAGTTTGTCCATTTAATTTTCTTATCTGATAGCTTAGTATGAGGTTTATTATCTTGAAATTCTTCTAAAGGTACATGTATGTGAAATAAAATTTAAAAAGATGGGCACCCTGCATCATATGAAAGGTAATTTTCATCTGATGAATTCAACTTTACATGGGAGGGATGGGGTTATGCAAAAATGCCTACTTCATCTAATCTTCAATATGTTCAGGGTCAGGAGAAGGTTCTGTCTGAAGGACAACTATATAGGTATTTGCATATGCTGCTACAGCTAGTTCAATTGCTTCCAGAGCATTTACTTTTATATATGCAAATTAGAATATGGTCCTTGAGCTGTCCAGTGTATGGACCTTTGGAGAGAGGTGAAGTCAGGAGTCAGGGCGTGCTCTCTGCCACCTTCATCTTCTCGAAATAATGTCTCCGTGTAGCTGATCTGGTAATAAGAATCAAATGAGCCAAGGAAAAAAGGTCTCAGTTCCATGAATCTTTTTAATTTTTTTTATTTTGTATGTATTTTTTATCACATGTTACTTACAGTTGTTTTTAGAGTTATTGCATTGATGGCACAAATACCATCATTTGGGTTAATTCTGTAATGATATTTATGATACAAGTGCCACATTTGGTGTTTGATTTTTATTAGGAATGTTATTAATATTGAATTTTCATCAAGACTAAAGCTTATTCTTTTTAAATGCAGCTTAAATAAAATAAACTTCACTAATTTAATTTATTTTAATTTGACACTTTTTGTCCACTGGTCTTTTCCTTTGGGACATAGTAGTGCTTTCTTTGAGAACACAGCTCTCAATCTATACAATCCTGATTCTTGGAAATGATACAGTTGCCAAGTTGCTTTATGCAATATTCATCCCTTACATAAGCATCATTCTTCTAAAAGAAATGCCTGTCTCATACATTTATGCTGCCATATGGGAAGAACACATTAATGCATATTACGATGAGTCAGGAAAATATATTTGCTGATATTCCAAAGCATGAACAAATGGCAAAAAGATAAATCCATTGGTATGTGTAAATCATCCCTGTGAGAGAGATGGCATATCTACTTGAAAACACAATAATGTAATGAATTTACGCTGTGAGAGTTGGGTCTGCCCTATGAAGTAATGCACTAATAGTGTTGCCATTGTATCATAGTGGAAAGGAAGGAAAATGTACTTGGCCCCTGACTTCCTTACACTTTGACATATAAGCCTGTAGCCTTTCTTCTGATAGCTAGTTTTAGACAGTGGAAATGAGCTAGCAGAAGGCAAACTCAAGTTTGAAGCAGCTGCAGAACTCATTCCAGCTGCTAAAGCTCAAATGCTTTGTCTCGCAAAAAACAGCGAGTTTGTCTTTGCTTTTATGGAAAACCAATTTTAGAGGTAAGTGATGCTGAATGTTTTAAGTTCAAAAGAGAAGACAAATATTAATTTTTCTTAAGGCATGTCTGAGTTGTATTAGTGTAAGCTTGGGCAGTAAACAATTTTTTCTTTGATGTTATTTACTTTTAAAGTGATTTATTAATTGGAACAGTTTCTAAATGATCTAGTGCTATTATGCCTTTTAAAAATTCTTGTATTTCTCAGGGACTGTTTGGAGTGTTTCTCAAGTAGTTAGTTTCTTTTCTATTTAGTTTTCCATATGTAAAGTTTCATTTCAAGCTCTAAAAATAGCAAATTAGGAAAAAAATTGAAAACTTTGGTAAATGATTTATGACCAACTTACTTAAAGTAGTTGGGTCATTAATAATCACTTGGCTTAATTATACCATCCATTGTATTTGTAATTGTAATCTCAGGGAGAATGATACATTTAAGAATAGAAAATTAATTCAAGATTTAGCAGCAGAAAAACACTTTGTATAAATGAAGACTCCTTTTTAGTGTGCTCTCATAGATTGAAATGCATATTTTGTTCTTTTAAATGGAGGGTATAGAATGTTAAATTATTTCTGGATTTTATTAAATCTGTTATAGGAAAATGGGTTATGTGGGTTATTCTACAATATCTACTTTGGAGTTGATGTTAAATGTATACTTTAACAGTTCCTACATAATAGAACTATATAATTTAACTTAGTTCCTGGTCATTGTGCTCATACATAATTTAAGAGTCTAAAGCAGGATTTCCCAAAGTGGTTAATATCAGTCACCAAAGATTTTGCTGTTGTTGTTACTATTATTATTGTTTATAATACTATTAGTTAAAGTAGTATTTATTAAATTATTTTCATATATTAAATGTTTGGAGATTGATAAACAATTCTAAGACTCCATGGAGGGATTAATAGCTGAAAAGTTTGAATTTTCTCTGGTTTATGCTCAAAATATGTCAGCACATTGCTCCTGCCATCATGTCCGATGAAGTAACTGTAGAAAGTAAGGAACCTGCTTAACCTGGAAGGAAATACACTGGAACTGTTTCCTAGCCAAAAGAAGCTGAAACATTTTTAAAGTCCAGAACAGATAATGCCTCCCTAACCTGCTGAAGTATAAGAAAGAAGAGGTACAGCACAATCAGAATTGCAAGATTCAGTTATTGCAACTAATTTCAATAAAAATAGCCTTCTTGTGATTTCATGGTCTGGTTTACCTAGTGCAGCTGATGGTAACTATTGCCTGACACTTGTGGATTGCACCAGAATTTGGAAAGGCTATTCATTGGGTTAAAATATTTTACTTTATTTCGAATTCTGCTTTTAGTATAAATTATTCTAGGTTGCACAGACTACTAAAGAATAATATTTTCCTGAAATACATTCAGATAGTTGAATTTAAAACATTTGAGAAATTTTACATTGAATTGTTTAATAGTCAGGTGAGAGTACAAAATTTTCATTATGGTATTGGAAAAGGAAAGAGGCATTTTTAATTTGGTCCATTGTGTACCTTGTTTTGCAACCAACTTTTTGGGTGTTTTTGAGTCAGTGTTGACTCCTGGTGACTACCTAAACTTTCTGCAAGGTTTTTTTTCCTCACAAGTATTGTGCTTGAGACAGTGAGTGGACCAAAGTCACTCAGTTGGGATTATGCCATAGGCAGGATTAGAATCACAGTCTCATGGTTTTTAGCATGATGCCTTAATCACATCATGAGGCTGGCTCTCTGCAATTGACTATGCACACTATCAATGCAAATGCTGTACTTATAAAGACAAATATAAGTAGAAAAATAATATTTTCTTTGACATGTAAAGTTTTGCAAGGAAGTGATATTTGTCAAAATGGTAGCATATAAAATATGCTTGCTTGTTTTGTGGAAATAAGAGATTGTGGGTCAAGGAAAACATAAACAATAGGTTGTGTGCAGTAGGAATAGGTTTCTTTAAAATGAGAGTAGTGAAGCAAGAAGATATAGCAACATGAATGAATGTGGGCAAAATGAATAAGAATTGAATGCAAATGTGAGTGACCAGTAGGAAATATGTAAGAAGTATATTATTTGACCATTTACGATATAAGGTGAAGGAATTAGAATAAAACTATAAAACAAATATATGAAGGAGTGGGAAGAGTGAATGTGGATTGAAAGGAAGGAAAACACTGAAAAAATGGTAGTTGGATGGTTCTGAAGAGTTCATCAAAAAGACAGAAATGAGAAATTTAAGGAACAAATTGCAATGTATAGCCATTCTGGAACCAAGTAGAGAAAGCATACTTTCCTTTTGCCTGCTGCTTTTTATTTCTTTTGCTTACTACTACTTTTTACATGCTTTACCTAACAATTCTTATTCCTATGGAATAGCATCATGGATATGGACATGGGTATTCTGGAATCAATTGCTGATTTATATTTTTTACGTTTTGGTACAATATGTCATAGTTTGTTTAATTTGCATTTCTTAGAACAGGAAAATGTACTTTAAGCTGGATAATTCAAAAGAATTATATTTATGTCATTATGAAGTCTGGAAATAATCATTTGTTTTAATTTTATAGAGTACAGAACAGGTTGCTGCTTTTTGTCGCAGTTTTCATGAGATGACTCCATCTGACCCTAATGTGACCCTTCAGGAATCTACTGGACCTCAGCAATCCACTACAAGACAGCTAACTGATGCTGATAAACTGCGCAAAGTTATTTGTGAACTGCTTGAAACAGAATGCACATATGTCAAGGTAATATCCTGTTATGTGTTAATTTGTATATCAAGAAGTGTAGACTCATGACTCATTCTAGCATATTTCTAGAGTTAACCCATAATGCTCATCAGTGTATCATCCCTGTTCTTCTCTTCCTCTATCCTGTCATGCTAATTTCAGCTTAAGCAGAAATAAGATAACACCGACTCTTTAAACATCATATCTTTAAAGAAAAAAGGCTGAGTGCTTTGCTATATCTCTTTCCTGTTCTCTCTTTATTCTGCTGCCATCAGCTCTTTGAAGAAGCCCTTTGGAGTACAACAGGAGTGCCTTTGTTAGCAGTAGAAAAATCAAAGCTGCTCACAGTTTCCTCTCTTTCTTTAGAATAAGGGTTTTCTGTCCTTTACTCTGCTAATAGAGGATCTAAAGTTTGATGCATTCAGTATAGTCCTGCTTATAATAACCAGTTGATGAGGGTTGATTGGAGTACAGTTGGCAACTGCAGAAGAAAAGGGTGTAAGTTGAGGATCTCAAATATAAAATAAAAAGTTAAATACTACAGATACTCCTCATTTACAGATACTCCCTACTACAGATACTCCTCATT